GTGCGGTGCGTCTGCACGGTGCCGCGTTGCCGAGCGGTATCTGTCGCCTGGTGTTCGCATGGCAAGGCTCCTGAACGCTGCACGCAGGCTCAGACGCACCAGGGATGCCAAGGCCTGGCAATCTTCTGATTGTCAGTGTGTGTAGGGTGAAGTCATCCGTGCAAGTTACCTGGATCTCAGATGTTGCACTTCATATTTGACACCACCGTAATCAACTGTGCAAAGACAATGACAAGAATCTTCTTTATGTTGGTGGCGATCATGATTTCTGGCACCACGTCTGCTGGTGAGAAAAATTCACCACCAATCCAAGATTTAAAAGAAGTAAAGAGATCTGCAGATGAATTCTTGATGAAGGAAAACAGGCAGAAGAGAACCCAATTCACTGCTGTTCGAATCAATCCAAAAATAATAGTCGAACAGTGCGCTGTTCCACTTGAATCGGACTGGGCATCTTCAGACAGTGGAGTTCTAGGAAAAAGAGTTCAAGTTGTCTGCAGATCGACATTGCACGACAAAAAGGGTTGGCGTGTTCTGGTGCCAATTGCAGCGTCAGCCACACACAAGAATTAGAGTGAAATTCTATGCGTCAGGATGATTGGCTACCGCGCAAACGAAGGATGATTCCAAGAGGCGCTGATGCCGCTCAGCAGCGCTGTCGTTGTGGCGCAGTGCCACTGGATAAGCCCTAGGTTGTGGCAAGGGCTGGTACGGACCACCTCGCTCGTCGGGGGGCAATGTCGGGACTTCGCGCGGCTTTGGAGGCGTTTTCTGGGAAGTTGAGGTGGATGGAGCGAGTGATATGGGCCTGAGCGATCCATGACCACCGGACTTTGCCCATTGCTAGCTGTCGGAAGTCGACCCAAAGCGGAATTTCGCTTCGAATGGTTTTGAGAAACCGCACATTATGGTTCATAACTCAGTATTGCACGGGCAACCGCTCTGTTACATTCTGGGTCTCCAGCAAATTCACTGAGCGCACGGGCAAACGGGGCGTTATCAACCCTCTTTATTTCTTGCAATTCCGCTGGTGAAAGTTGGTCATTTCTCCCTGTTCGAATTCACGGTTCATCTTATCTCTCAGGCGTTGAGTTCTAGGGGATGCATAGTAAGCGATGACGTCCCGTGCCTCGGAGCCAGACACATACCTTCGCGCGAATGGCAGAGCAGCATCATTAATTAATTTGTTCGAAATAAATGACAACTTGGGGCAGAGGGCAATGTAGGCTGCTGTCCTAGATAAATTATTTTCAGGAAGACACCCTCTGGCTAGACTCGCTTTCGCGATTTCCGCATATCCCATAACTTCAAGCATCTGCGCCCAAGGTTGCTGTTGCTCATTGTCCGCTGCGCTTAAGCTGCCTGTAATGGTTGTAATAACGAAAAATGCAATGATTCGCAATTTTTTCATGAGTGGCTCTCGATAGGAATTTTGATCACTGCGGAAAACAATGCCCCCATGCATGCAATGGTGGAAAAAATAGACAGCAGGTTTTGTGGTTACAGGCGTTGGATTTTAAACCAAGGCATTTGGGCACGACCTTCGATGCTCAACTCCAATTCAGCAAGATATTTCAGCATGTGTCTGCTCCCGGCCGGCAACAGTCCTTCACTAGATACCGCTTTCACTTCTTTCTACTCGTCTACCAACCTCACCCACCACATCCCCCGGCGCAACCCCCAACACCTTGCATAGCTTGAAAACAGACCGAAGGCTCGGACATTTGCTACCAAGCTCCAACTGGCTGATGTAGTTGCGCGCCAGCCCGGCTTCCGCGGCAAGGGCTTCCTGGGACAGTGCACGCTCATTGCGTAGCTCACGCAACAGGCTTCCAAAGGCTTTATCAAGTTTCTGTCATATCTGCTCACTAAAGTGAGCAAAGCTTCCGGGTTTGCGTGCAGACAGTCTTCCACCTATAGTTGGAGTTTTGTAAAGCAGCGATGGCGCTTCCAGCAGATGGGCGTCGCATTTGCCCATTGATCTTGGGCGCTGAGCAACTCTCGACTGGAGCGCAGATGGAGCAGCAAGTCTTGGCCACCACACCCTCACCCAAACTCGAAGACCTCGCCATAGACGCCGTCCTGCACATGGGCGCCGCGCTGGATGTGCTGGACCTGCACGCTCGCCACAACATCACGGCTATCAATTGCGTGTGCCGCGATCTGCTGCGCATCTACTACGTGAAGGCCGACCAGGCGCAGTCGCTGGAGCCGGAAGACAGGGAACTGGTGGGACTGCTGCACGACACGGCGGTGAACCTGGGCTATGCCATTGAGGTGGTGGAGCATCTCAATGGCGATGAGGCCGACGACCCCATTCTTTATGCCGTGAGCTATCTGCTCAGGGCGGCGAAGCGGTTTGCGGATGAGGGGGTGTCGGTGGCGTTGGCCTGAAGAGCGCAACAGGCGTGGATGGCCTGCGGGCATGGCGGGAACGACGCAAAAAATGGGCGAAAAAAAAAACGCGCCCCATGCTGAAGCGCGCTGCTGGGTTGGGGCCGTGGGTCAGTCTTCTTGGCCCGGATGACTTCGCCGCCCACGGCGTCGATCTTGACTTCCATGAGCGTGCCGTTGGCCTGCAGCACTTCGACCTGGTAGCTGGTCTGGCCCCAGTGGAGTCCAGTTCCGCGCTGACGGGCGTGCCCGGA